CAAATCCCCCCCCCCCCCCATGCAATGACAAACTCGACCGTCATTCAGGAAGCTGCACAACTCAGCGTGGCTTCGAAGGTACCGTTGTTCACCAGTGGTAAGTGAGCATGCCTGCGTCGCAGCTAAATCGGACTGACCTTCATGACGACTCAGTTGCATCTCTTACCTGGACTCTGTACGATTACGGTGAGCGGAAACGCGGCGTCCAGCTTGTCTTCAGCTGACCATGATTGACCTGCAGTATGTACCTTGGAGGACGAAGTCCGATACGTATGGGTAGGTGCTCAATCAATGATACCCAAACTCAATCTGATGCTATGGTAGCCCAGTCGATGGAATATCGGGAAGGTTTTGTTCTTCTGGGTACGAGCTTCTGCTTCGTACCGTACAGGCCAGACGCTTGTTGTTGCTGACTTCTCGTGCTAGAACCGTTACTACACGATTTTACTCGTCGCCTTCGATACCGCCCAGATTCATTCATTCAGCAAGTTCCAACCCAGCCTATTCGAGTGCGTCGCGTTCTTCACAAGCGTGTGATGCATCTCTAACTAGATGTCCGAAGCTGTGTACTGGTTGACGTTTTGACGCGCGTCTTCGGCGTACTCGGTCTTTGGCCGATCGAAATCATCATGCAGCTTCGTATCTACGCGCTCTTCAATCGTTCCAAACGGATCGCTATGTTCAACGCCATCCTCTTCATAGCGTCAATCGTAGCATTCTGCGTGATCCTCGCACACAACGTTGGCGAGCTATCAGCTAAGATCAGCTTTGCGAAAGCACTGCCTATACCGAGTTGCCCGATTGTACATGTTCAGCTCGAATGGGCTCAGTGGGTACCTCGTGAGTACTTTACAGATATCTAGGGACCGACGGTCAAACTTACGATTTGCTTACAAGCTACGGCATACGAGGGCGTGCTCTTCTCCTTTACGCTTTGGAGGGCTTACTCTGTTGTCGCTTCGAAGTTGCGCGAACCCGGAGGCCATTCCGTCGGGAAACGGGCCGCTGCTACGCCAACCCTCCATGCGTTGTTGGTCCAGGATAATCTGCTGTACTTTCTGGGGTGAGCAGGCCTGGCCATCACTTCTTTGGCTGCATAGCTCTTAGCTCATGCCTGCGCGTATCTAGTATCTGCGGTCTTTTGATCTTCAACAATGTCATGTCTACGGTCCGTCACCCCCATTGCGTCGCTCCTAACTTCACGCTAATCATCTGTCACGCAGAGCGCCTCTCGAGTCCCATGGTTCAGTTTTGGGTACGCCTTCGTCACCACGTTCCACTCAAGGAGATGAGACGCTCAATGATATGTAGTCCATTCCACGCCGCTGGTGGCATTATGACTGCGCGTATGCTGATTCACCTTCGCAAGACCCTGGCGTTGCGCCAGCAGAAGACCTACAACGCTGCACTGGCGCAGCTGGATAAGGCGCACCCTGCTCAGTTCTCGCAGGGTCTCGGAAGCCCCGCAGTAGGTACTGCTCGCGCACATAGACGTGCGGACACCGAGTCGACCTTGGTAGATGATAGAGCTGCAGGGGAGAAGACTGATGGCGTGGCGATGTTCTTAGTGAAGCACCATAAGTCCCTTTCTTGATCGGAGATGTAATAATATGAGCGTTAAATACACTGCGGGATCCGCGTCTTGTAGGACTTCGATCTTCGGCGCCGGCCTTAGCTTCATTTGTCTTTCGCTGCAAGAAGTTCTCATGCTGCACTTCTCGAGCGTCCCCTACATCGCGTTTTTGATCTGTGGCGGGCTTCACATGTGACTTAAACTGCCCCAGCCGATACAATATAAAGGCTGGGCAACTTACTGATTCTTATTCGTCGTACCACCGTCCATCCGCACCACGCCCAACATGCCCGACGTCACCTTCACCAACAACCTCAAACAAAAGATTCACATCGGCCTCTGGATAGGCTGGCTTGATCATTATGGAAACTCGATCGCCCCAGGCGCCTCCTGGACTGCGCCCCTCGCGTCGGTACCATATACTATCGAAATCCGTGCCGATACAGGTGACAATGCGTTCAGCAAGGCAGAGGGAGACGCGAAGGTTGGACACATGGTCGGCGCAATGGGTCAAGGTACCATTTCTATACTGGCGGGCTTGGGCTGGGGGCTCGGTATCATGGGTGTCGGAGGGGTGGCGGCTCAAGCGGCAAGCGGCACATTACGCCACCGCGCATGGAAGACTTCGAGCGACACGATGCAAAATGCGATTCAGGGTACGTGCGATCACAAGGCTTGTGCTGAAGGGAAGTTCCTGAGTCGAGGCCTGACCCACTGGCAGGCGGCGCGCGCTACTTTACGAACGACAGCGCTGGCCACATCCTCAGTAGCCAACAACTGATTGGTTGGGGTCCAATGCACTATGACGTCCGCGGGGAGGGTAATCGGGTGCAATTGTACGAGCCGGGCGCGAATGCTGTCCGTGCTGAAGTAAACGCGTCGTTCGAGCAATCCGGTAAGTGTGGCCACGTGCCTCGCAGACGAAGGTCTGACGCAGTACTCTATAGTCGTCGTAGCCTCGTGACGCACAGATCGAGCATGTTCTTGACTTTCGAAACGAGTAAATCAGCTATGAGCGTAGACGATGTATGGTGTATTATGAAGCAGAGTTTTATGCCAACTTGAGGCGGAGCCTTCGCCGACAGCGGGTGACGATATAACCAGAGAATCGTTTTACGGTACTAGACCTCTTCACCGCGTAGCGTATTGAACACACTAGAGTACGAGAGTTACAAAGAAAGTCGCGCATCGGAACATGACAATGGCGGTTTGTGACAAGCGGTGGTCGCGCCACTAGGCGAGATGGTTTGATCTTATCTTGCTCGTGGGAAAGGAACCGAACCGCATATCGCGCCAAAAATTTGAGACGCAAGCCTTGGCTTTCCCCATCTTCCATCTTCCCCTTTCCTCCTTTACGACCATGGATAGCGTACGGATACTATCTGGGTGTACGGAGAACGCGTCTGACATGTCCCGATGTAGAGCTATGTCCAGGGTCTGCACGATCTCCTCGTGCAGTCCACCGCAAACAATACTCTCCAGCTGAAGGCCGTGCGTCGCCACCGATTTCATAGTTAAACTCATACTCAAGTTATACGTAGGCAACGGCCCAGCTCAACAAGGAGTACTACAAAAACCCGGCATGCATTCCAGCCCTTACGACTATTCTCACCATGTCTCTCGAGGCACCTGTGCGTTTATTTGTTGTATGGTTGAGATCTGAGACTTACTGGGGGAATAATAGGTTCGGCAACTCGCCGCAGTCGAGCTGAGGAAACGCGTCTACGCCCGTAGCGGCGATATGTGGCTACAGGTCAACCAGGCCGACCGCGACGCCATCAAGGCCAACCTCCCCTCGTTCATCCTCAACGAGTCCCAGTACGTACATAATAACACTCGCGCAGTGCGTGTAGGCTGATCTTCGTGTCAGAAAACTTGTTCGCCACTCTGCCGCACGAGTCATTGCCGCGATCGCCGGTATCGAGATGGAACACAACACCTGGCCGACGCTGTTGCCCTGGATCCAGGAAACTTGCTTGTCCACCGCCGTCGCCCACCGCGAGATCGGCGTCTTTGTTCTCTTCTCGGTCATTGAGTCCATCATGGATACCTCGACCTCCACTATTCCCCAATTCCTGCAGTTGTTTGAAAAGCTTCTCCAGGATCCGGAGAGCAACGACGTCCGTGTGACCGCAGTTAGGTTAGCCGTCTTCCTTGCGTTCTCACCGAATACGGGTTCTGATATAGTCTTAGGGCACTGGGCACAGTCGGCCAGTACATTGATTCGGATGAGAAGACGGAGATCGTATGTGGAACTCACAAGTCCGTTTTTGGACATGCAGATGCTCAAACGTTGTCATTAGCGCGCGTTCCAGGCCGTCATGCCCCATATGTTGAATGTCATCCAGCAGACTGTGGCACTCGGCGACACCGAAGGCGCGAAGCACGTCTTCGACGTCTTCGAGACTCTGCTCATCCTTGTAAGTCGAATTAGCCCAATCTCTTCGACCACGGTGCTGATTCCCTATCGCAGGAGACGCCCTTGTTGAGCGCCAGCGTCCCGCAGCTCGTGCAATACCTTCTTCAGACTGGCGCCGACCGCAACGTCGACGATGACCTCCGCATCCAAGCTCTCAACGCGCTCACATGGACTGTGCAGTAGTAAGTATATTCGCTTCTGATAGCCTTTTTACCTACGGGTACTGACGTCAATACAGCAAGAAGTCGAAGATCCAGAGCAATAACCTTGCCGGTGCGATCATCGAGGGGCTCATGCCCATCACCGCAGAGCCGGAGGTTGAGGACATTGATGAAGACGCGCCTTCTCGCGTATGTTCTCTACACGCCGTTATTCCGCCCTGGAGTTAACATTCTTTCCAGTCCGCTCTCCGTATCATCGACGCCCTTGCCACTAACTTGCCGCCGACCCAGGTCTTCAACCCTCTTCGTCAGGTCCTCCAGAGCTACATCACTTCTCCGGACCCGAACCTGCGCCGCGGTGGTATGTTGGCGCTCGGCATCTCCGTCGAGGGTTGTTCCGAGTTCATGATCCCGCTTATGAGTGGCGTGTGGCCCATCATCGACGCCGGTCTTCAAGACGCCGACGCCAGCGTGCGCAAGGCGACATGTATCGCGGTTAGCTGCCTCTGCGAGTGGCTCGAGGATGAGTGCTCTCAGCGTCACTCCGTTCTCGTACCCGTACGTCCAGCTCTTCGGACCATGCCAGTCATAAACTCAAACATCACCACGTAGGCTATCATGCAGCTCGTCCAGGACCCGCAGACTCAGCGCCAGGCTTGCACCGCTCTCGACGGCCTTCTTGAGATCCTCCACGACGACATCAAGCAGTACCTCCAGCTTATCATGGAGCGTCTTTCCGGCCTGCTCGAGACCGCGCCTATCCCCGTCAAGACTGTCGTGATGGGCGCTATCGGCTCTGCCGCCCACGCGTCGAAGGAGGGTTTCCTGCCGTACTTCCAGCCGACGATGGAGCGCGTCAAGCACTTCCTTGTGCTCACTGGCGAGGGCGAGGAGCAGGACCTTCGCGGTATCACCATGGACGCCGTCGGCACGTTCTCCGAGGCGGTCGGCAAGGACGTCTTCCGCCCGTACTACAACGACCTCATGCAGCAGGCATTTGCTGGTATTGAGCTTGGCTCTGCTCGTCTTCGCGAGTGCTCGTTCCTCTTCTTTGGCGTCATGGCCCGCGTCTACGGTGATGAGTTCGCGCCGTGGTTGCCGAAGGTCGTACCGGCGCTCATCGCGAGCTGTAAGCTCGAGGAGGGTGGCAAGGAGCCCATTGGTCGTAAGTTCCGCTGGTGTCCTTGAGTTTCGCAGTCAACTAACGCATACGCAGTCTCGAACGCTGAGGCACTTGCTGCCTTCTCTGCGTCCGGCTCCGACCCGGCAAATGCCATCACGGTCATTGACGAGAACGAGCCCATCGAGGTTGAGGACATCGACCTCGACAAGATGCTCGACGTCAACTCGGCTATCGCGGTCGAGAAGGACATCGCTGCGGACACTATGGGCACGCTCTTTGCCGCGACGGGCAAGAGCTTCCTTCCCTACGTTGAGCAGTGCACGCTCGAGCTCATTGAGCTCACGAAGCACTACTACGAGGGCATCCGCAAGTCCTCGAGCGACTCGCTCCTTGAGATCATCCGCACCTTCTACGAGCTTTCCGAGCCCGCTGAGTGGCAGCCCGGCCCGCCTGCGACTGCGCCCGCTCTCAACCAGCACGTAGCCGACCTCATCAGCCACATTGTTCCTCAGCTGCTCGACATGTACGAGACCGAGGATAACAAGACGGTTGCTGCTGCTCTCTGCGTCGGTCTCGCGGAGACCATCAACAAGGTTGGCCCGCGCTTCCTTGATGGCTGTGAGTATTTCATCATCTCAACATGTCTTCATGAGCGGTGCTAACGTTGATACAGACCTCGAGCAGCTCTGCACCATCACGGTACAGATCTTGGAGCAGAAGGCGCTGTGCCAGCAGGATCCCGACCAGGATGACGCCGACGAGGCCCCGGAGGAGTCTGCGGAGTACGAGTCGGTGCTCATCTCGTCCGCGCAGGACCTCGTTGCCGCCATTGCGAACGTCCTCGGTCCCATGTTCTCGCAGGTGTTCGCCACCTTCCTTCCGCTCATCGGGAAGTACTATGTATGTCTCCTATCTCTCTCACCTTTTAGGAATCGTCGCTCACGACCCCCCCAGAAAAAGAACCGCTCGCTCAGTGACCGCTCTGCCGCTATCGGCTGCTTGGCCGAGCTCATCGACGCACTCAAGTCGGAGGTCACCAACTGGACGGAGCCGCTGCTTGAGCTCTTCTACACCGCACTCAGCGACACGGACGCGGAGGTCCAGAGCAACGCTGCCTTCGCCACTGGTCTCCTCATCGAGAACTCGCAGCAGGATCTCTCGCAACAGTACCTGCCCATTCTCAGCAAGCTGAAGCCGCTCTTCGACGTTGTTCCCACGGCCAGCCCGCCTGCGCGCTTGAGCGCGAAGGACAACGCTGCTGGCGCCGTCGCCCGTATAATCGTCAAGAACTCTGGGGCGCTCCCTCTCGATCAGGTCTTGCCCATCTTCATCGGTGCATTGCCACTCCGCAACGACCTCCTCGAGAACCGCCCGGTCTTCCGCGCAATCTTCCACCTCTTCCAGACCAACGGTGCCGCGCTCGTGCCGTATATCGACGCTCTCCTGCAGGTCTTCGCATACGTTCTCAACCCCGAGGTTGAGGAGCAGGTACCCGAGGAGGCCCGCGAGGAGCTTATTCGCCTCATCAAGGCGATCAACCAGGAGAAGCCCGACGCCGTGCAGGCTGCCAATCTTTCCGCGTTCGCGTAATGTGCTTCTCGTCCGTTTGTTTCATAGATCCAACTGTATGCTCTGGTTACTGCCCGCTGTGTCTTATACTCCGCTTGTCTTTCGCCACGTCTCGTCTCGCCCATCTCACGTAGTAGTTAGTTTACATCTGGTTTCGGATACATCACTCTTTTGTCTGCCGTACGATACCACTTTCTCCCCGCTGTCTTCATCCCGCTGCCGCTGTGTTTGTTTCATTCGACTCTCAGTGTACGCACACTACCCCGATCTACTAGTCCTCTCCATGTAGCGTAAGTAAGAAGGATACATCCCCGTTGTACTCAAGCTACGCGTGATCAATCCGAGGTGTGGCGTTTCCAGCAGGTACGTACCGGATAGGGGCTGGTTCGATGCGGTCAGGTGTCAAACGCGTCGGCGCGTATGTTCACTCGCGAAGGTGCGCTTTGGCACGCATACTCTCTTGCAATAGGTTCAAGTTCTACGATGACACCGTGCCTCAACTACGACCACCACGCACAGCTAGCCCGCCGTCCGTCTATACCCCCTCCCTGCTTCCCGCTGCTTGCCGTTCAGTCGCTGGTCGACCGTTCAGTCTGCCCTCGTCGACGCGTGACGCGCTCGCTGGCCCCAGAGGTCACTATACATTAACATAACTATAACGATGGCAGCATTGCCTTTCATCACCCGCCGCTCTCTCTTGTTACTCAACATCGTCTTTGCACCGCTTCTTTGTCTCGCTGTATCGGTGAACTACCCGCTTGAGGACCAGCTGCCTCAGATCGCGCGCGTTGGGGAGCCGTTCGAGTGGTCGTTCTCGCCTATCACTTTCGACGATGATTCAGCGGGACCGCTCCAGTATACAGCCTATTCACTCCCCGCATGGCTCTCGTTCGATCCTTCCACGCGTGCGTTCAGCGGTACACCCGGAGCAAACGACGAGGGAAGGCCGCAAGTGCGCGTGGAGGCGGAGGATAAAGACGGCGATACCGATTCCTCCGTCCTCACGCTGTGCGTTACGCCATACGGCCCTCCGGTACTCAACAGGCCGATATCGCAGCAGTTCGTCGAGAACAACCCCTCACTATCCTCCGTCTTCCTCCTCTCCCCCAACTCGGCACTCGCACAAGACCCAAACGTCCCGACTCTTCGTGTCCCGTCCAGCTGGTCCTTCAGCATCGGCTTCGAATACGACACGTTCGCGAACAAGTCGAACGTGTACTACGACGCGCGCCAGGCGGATGGGTCTCCGCTTCCTTCTTGGATGAGATTCAGCACGAAGGGCTTAACCGTGGATGGCGTTGTACCCCACGAAGACGCCCTCGCGACGCCTGCGACGTTCAATCTCGCTCTCCACGCTTCGGACCAGGAAGGCTTCTCAGCGGAGATACTTCCCTTCAACCTCGTCATTGCGTCACACGAGCTCTCCCTCGGTCCAGGCATGACTTCGCTGCCCACTATCAATGTCACAGCCGGCGAAGACTTCGACGTCGCGCTCGCCTCGGCGCTGGACTACAACGGCGCGCTCTTCGACGGCTCGCAGATCCAGCCCGATAACGTCACGATTTTCGACGTCGATACGTCTTCCGCGCCGGGTCTCGCGTACGATAAGGTCACGCATAGGCTGAAGGGCAAGGCCCCGTCCAATACGACGACGCTCCCCGTCTCGCTCGAGGCGAACGGCCAAACACTCAACTCGACGCTCCAGATCATGTCCGTTCCGTCCTTCTTCACGCACGACAACCTCGGCGATGCAGATACGGAGGAGGGCGGGAAGCTGACGTTCGACCTCGAGCCGTTCTTGACCGACAAGGGCGTGAGCGAGGACGTCGACCTCTCTATCTCGCTCTCGCCCGTTGAGGCGGGCTCTTGGCTCTCATTCAGTAACTCCTCGCGCATCTTGTCCGGCACCGCGCCCAAGTCCGACCCGGGGTATGAGAACGTCGGCGTGACGTTCACCGCGTACTCGCATGATACGCATTCGACGTCGCATGCGCGTTTATCAGTCGCTTTGGAGGGCGTGGGGCCGAAGGGAAATGGGAAGGGCGAGAGCCACGGCGCTTCGAGCGAGAAGAGGGGCAAGATCGTCTCGATCTTGACTATCGTCTTCGGAATCCTCGGAGGCATGCTCGGACTTGGCCTCTTGATCGCTGCATTGACGAAGTGCGCGCGCGTCCCGGATACGGCGCTCAGTCCTGAGCAGGCGCTGCAGTCGTTCTCGGAGAAGGAGAAGAGCTACTATGGCTTGTCGAGGGACGCAGAGACGGGGAATAGCGGGTTGGGCGATTCGAGGGTGGGATCGCAGTCGGATATGTCGCTTTCAAACAGCTATGGTAAGTGTCAATGCCGAACAACTTTAGAGATGCGCTGACGATACGCACAGTGCACCCCAGTATGGACCTCCCACAACCTCCAGAACCCGCATACGCCGCCACGCGCTACGGCAACGTCGGCGTCGGCTACCCAATGGACAGCCCCGCGAGTTCGATGATGACCAAGGCGAACTTCATGGATCGCATGCGCGGCGGCATGCGCAAGATCAGCGACAACGCGCGCAGGTTCAGCGGTCGGCGCCCAGCAATAAGCCGACCTATGCCCGTACAGCCGGACCCCGAGCAGGGTACGCCGACTATTGAAGCTATTGGTGGGCCGGCGTTCTTTGGCGATCCTGGCGACGCGGACTCGCCTGCGCTCAGCGGGGGTACTACACCCATTGTCGTCCCGCGCAACACTCCAGCTTCGGTCGGCTTTGACGCACGGCGTATACGAGACTCGCGTGGGGAGACGCTCAGTCAAGTTCGCAGATCTTCGTCTGCGTCCGTCGGCTCGCTCGCGTCGCTGCGTACGCACGAGGAGACGGCCATCGTCCACAAAGCCCAGCGCGCGACGAGTATCCGCAACGTAGGCTCCCCAATGCGTAACTTGGATCCCGACGTGCGCTTGATGCCAGGTCCGTCAAGCCGCGGCGCGCACACGCCCATCTCGCCCACGCAGAACGGCCTGCTCACAGGCCGCCTCTCAACGCGCCCGATCAGCCAAGTGGCGAGCGTGCAGGATGCGCAGGCGGACGATATCGAGACGAGCATGGCGTATATCAACGCGTACAGCGGTCGCGAGAGCGTCTCTACCAAGCGCACCAGTACGGCGTACACCACTGTCTCGTTCGGCGCGGCGGACAGCCCGTCGATGAACAGCTCGCGCGCGGAATCGCGTGCCGGCGGCGGGCGCGTGGATAAGGTCGTCGCGCCGGGAGGGCAGATGGTCGTGACGCTCCGGCTTACTCCCGAGGGCGCGCGGGCGCAGGAGCGCAACGCGTTGCGGGTGCACCAGCTCGATGGGGACAGGACGCCCGATTTTATCCGTGCTGAGCTGAAAGCGAGGCCGGGACATCCGGGCGAGGTCGTGATTCGGGCTATGCCGCCGGTGGATTGCAGCGAGGAGCTTATTGCGGTGGCTGTATACGATAGCAGGAACAATATCGTCAGTAACGAGATCAGGTTCGAGATTAGCCAGGAGGTTTGAGGTCGAGAAGGAGGAAGGCGGGGGATAACGGACAGTCACTGAACATCGCTATACTTATCACATATCTATACCTGTACGCTGTTGGAGAAGCAGTCATACCCAGTTTATAATCATTCGTTGTGTAGTTCGCATAGTGGCCGAGAGCCGCCGGTTATGGCGGGCAGCGACGGATACGGTGTTCACACGGAGAAGCAGGAGTTTAAGTGCGATAACGACGAGTGATCTGCGAGAAGGGTTCAGTGGATTGTTCTGCCAGGTACGGTGTAGGTAGACGTACCTATGTCTGGCTATGTGCGAGTCCAGTCTCATGAGGATGTGAGCGAAAGGACATGTGTATTACAGCGTGAAGGCGGTTTCCAAGTGTCTCGCTCATAGAGCGCGTGAAAGCTGCCTCTTATACATAGCCTTGCGCTGAGCTATGCACGTCCAACGGTCGGAGTAACGGACAAACGAGTGCATAGGGTATCAATCATCTGATGAGGCTGACGGTGTGGCGAACAACGTGGTGGCTTGATATAGATTGACTCTGCGCGCCCGCACACGTTTCGACTCTCGGCATAGCTTTACGCCAAGCGGGGGAGGGCACAAAAACATGTATACGGCGGAGGCTCGAGGCCAACAATAAAGCGAAGTACGGCTAGCGCTAGTGGTGGTTCGGAGTAAGACAGGCGCGCGGGTGAGCCGCGGTGACGCAGAGGCGCGCGCGCCAGGGCGTTCCTTGAGTTTGGTGTGGACAACCCATCAAGTCTGTGTGCGATTCGACGGCGCCTGACGACGGCATAAATACCCCTCGCTCACGATAGCTGTACATACCACTCACACCACATCTCTACTACCCCATCATCACCAATGGACGCCAGTCTCGCTCGCCTCTTCACCGCCAACTCGCAGTGGGCCGCCGCAGTGCGCGACGCCGAGCCCGAATTCTTCCAGACATCCGCACAGGGACAGGCGCCAAAGGTATATTATATTGTTTGTAGGCAATCTCGCGGCCGCTGACAGTCCTATCATAGGTGCTCTGGATCGGATGCAGCGACTCGCGAGTGCCCGAGAGCGTCGTGACCGCCTCCCGCCCCGGCGACATCTTCACACACCGCAACATCGCAAAGTACATCCCCCACCCTCGCCACAAATATCCTATACTGATCCCTCGCACAGCCAATTCCACCTAGACGACGATAGCGCACTCGCTGTGCTGACATACGCGGTCATGCACGTCGGCGTCGAGCACGGTACGTTCCCCCCAACCCCAATTTTCCTTCTACCCCCAGCTTATCTCCCCTCCCAGTTGTCCTCGTCGGCCACAGCAATTGCGGTGGCGCAGCTGCGTGCTATGATGCCGCCTGCGCTGGCCCTGCGGGCGCACCGAGCGATTCGTTGGGGCGGTGGCTGGCGCCGCTCGTCGAGCTGGCTGCGTCATTGGACCTGGCAGGCACAGACAGGCCAGCCGCCCTCGCGAAGCTCGTCGACGCGAATGTCCGGAAACAGGTCGAGAACCTGGTGTCGTGCGATGTGATGCAGAAGGCGTGGCAGGCTGGCAAGACCGTGCGGGTTCACGGTCTCGTGTACGATCTCGCCAGCGGCCAGCTCAAGGACCTCGGCGTCACCCAGGGCCCGCCGGCAAAGGCATAGAGGGACTCGTAGATTTAGCGGACATGGTGGTCTCTGTAGAGTAGTGTACATAGATGAATTCTTGCTTTCCTCCTGCCCGAACATCGATCGGAGGGCGGCCGCCGTCTGGTGCGGCGCCCGAGGCGCCAGCCGCGAAAAAGACTCGGGAAATTCAGAGATGAAATCATCCCGGCCGAACCCGAACGGTCCGCGCCTTGCAACATTGCGCGCGCGTGCGGAACCGCGACTCGTTCTCAACCACCACTCACTCGCTATGCACGCCTCTCTCATCCGCCGCTCCCTCGGCGGCATCGTTCCGCCCAAGATCGCTGCTCCTACCATCCTCGTGCGCCTTTTTCGCTTAGAAATAGATGAGGAAATGCTTACACGTTTCCCCGCAGAGCTCTGGCCAGGGCAGCGAGCTTGCGCCGCTCGTCGCGTTCTACAGCAAGCTTCCAAAGGGCCCGGCGCCCCCGCCCCCTGCTGCCAGCCTCAAGGCTAAGTTCTTCGACGGCAAGAATGCGAGCGGAAAGCCCCTCGTATACGGCATCATCGGCATCTTCCTCATCGGCTACACCCTTGACTACCAGAGTGCGTACACTATGCTGTTGGCGCTCGAATGCTCACTGACATTGCTATTTTCTTTCTTTACTATGTTTTTCGTATTGCAGTGCACCTCAGTGAGTTCGCCTGTCATTATGTTTCGTATGCGGTATTGACGTGTAACTAGAGCACCACAAGAACCACCCGCACTAAGCGATTCGCGTTCTGGTCGCATGGCGCGTACACGTTGGGTTATACATGTAGAAGAGTCGTTGCGAATGAATGATGTGCTGCCCGCCTCTTCGTTCACGGCTACAAGCGTGCTCTCGTTTTGGAAGCTCGTATACGTGGTTGATGTTGAAGCTGCTCTGTTCATGTCCGTCCTGTCATTGAGTGTCTGGGGCATGAGGTCCGCCCTGGCGAGTGTTGTTGGCGTACATCGCCAGCGCCGCGTGAACGGCTCGTAGCCTCAAGGATGTCGACGGCGACCATCGTCCTTCGCTTCACTCAACCCGTCTACGAGCGACAAGAAGTCGGATGCCTGCATTGCCGCACAGGTGCTCTGAGAGAGCTTTCGACTTTCGACGCTGGAAGGCAAGACATACTAACATCCCCAGGTCGCTGACTGTATTTCCGCGTACAGGTATTCGTCACATTTCGGTCTGCCGCAGGCTTGCGTCGCACCCCATTGCAGCTTTACATCACCGCATCGTCGTGCGCTCTCCAGTCTCGCTACGCCCACGTAAACAATGCACCTTCGCCTCGCGCTCAGTAGCCCAACTACGGGAACAAATGCCGTATCGCCCACCGCCGACGAAGACCGAGACGGGGCTCTCGACGCGAGCACGCGTCTCGCAACATCGGCCGCTCGCAATACACCCGCGTACCGCTCACGACGCCCGCTCAGTTGATATTGGTCAACCTGCAGAGGTATTGCGAAGGCTCGGGGTGAATAGCGCGCTACGCCGTTCGTGGGCTTATGCACGCGCGTTCAGTACGATCGCTGGCACCCGCGCTGTTACATCCTGCTTGTGTACCAATGATATTTCCGCGACATGCTTGAAGCAAAATGTATAGTGAATACTATGTAGAGTGCTCGACCTTGCGCCCGTCGCGGAGTCAACGACGTTCGTACAGCATGAATGATACATATCCAAATTTCGTCTGTCCTGGAGTTCTTCCTACTTCATCCGCCGTACAGTACGCGTGCATGGAATCATTACAGTGAGCAAAAGAACAGTGCACAGTAGAACAGTAGAGAGCCGAGCGAAGGCAGTCGTGGCGGCCGCGGCGCGCGTGTGAGCCTCGGTGCGCGCCTTGTTTCTTCCCGTCACGTCGACTCTCCACACACACCCGGCTCACCGCAAATACCGCTAGCTCTCGGATTCCGCAAGACAAGGCGACTTCTGTTCGCCACGAAACTCGTTCCCGTTGTTCAGCGCTGTGTCTATTGCTCGCCAACGGTCTCGTATGGACTTGTGCACCACGTCGACTGCTGCCTACCCGAGCTTGTCGGGCGTGTCGCCTATTTTCTGACGACCAGGCACCTGTTTCTCAATTGTGCTCAGGCGAACATTCTACGTCTGTAGCCTAGCTGACCCGTGGTCGCAGCGAGTTTTAGCGCTCTGCATCGACTGACGCAAGGTCGCGCCGAGTCGCGCCCAAGGCCGTACCAGCCGCCTCCGGCTCGCCATCTAATTTTTGCTGGCCTTGTGCATCTGGAGAACGATGCTTGCGCTGGAGAACAGCGTCTGTGAAGGCCTTGGATGCTCTTTCGAGCTCGAACAAGACGTGCTTGTCACGTACGAGGACAAGGTACGTTCGCGTTACGCGCGTATTTCGAGAACATCACTTAACGTTTGCTTCGGCCGTAGGCTCTACGAGGTGCAATAGCTCAGCGACGAAGAACGTCGTATACTGCACGGAACTTTCGCGCCACCATTTCCTCGCGTCTCTACGCTACGGCAACACCCACGACGGCAAGCTTGTCGACCATGGCACGGTTTGCCCGTCACCGCGACTCCGAAGACCCATTCGTGAAGAAACGAACTCGTCATCGCTCTCCGCGACAAAATCAAGCTTCTCGCGCAGACCTCCTCCCCACGCCCGCGCCCGCACCCATACCGGCGTACTACGCATCTTGAACGTTCACACCGGATATGACAAGCTGGCAAAACCGGCCACCAGCTCAGCGTACGCCCGTACTACGAACACCGATAAATCGCGTCCGCACACCGTCGCGATGAGTACGCCGCCGTAGCCTGTCAACGGTAGCCCTGCGAACTGCCGCACTCGTTGCAAGACCGTCGTGGCGTTCACCACCCGACGGGCAAGCACACTGCCGCCTCATGGCCCCACCGCAACCGCGTCTTCAACGCTGGCGACCCAAGCGTTGTGGTCCAATACGTCTCGTACGGACAAATTGGTGCTCCCGCCCGCGATGCACACGTTCATGGGGCGATCCTTGTGACGACACTACCCGTTCTAGAGACCGCAACAAAGATGAGAACGCGGACACAAACAAGGGTACGCCATGCATCCGCGATTAGCACGCTACCAAAAGTATGACCCACTCATCAGCACGTATAGCGCGAACACCACTCCCACGCTATAACTCAATATGCGCCACCCGAACCAAGTCGAGGCGGCCCCGAGCACGCTCCGTGCCCAAGGCGGCAGCGGCCGCTGACCGATTTCACGGCGAGCGACGAGAGCTACATCCGACGAAGGTGTCCGTCGGACGACGTAGCCCATACACGAAGAGGGACTCCCGACTTTGGCAGGGGCGCGAGGGCACGGATGGTCCGCCCGGGCGGGATGTAGACGGTATGGAAGGGTCTCATGCACGACCTGGCTGCGTTGTGCGAATTGCGCGTAGTTGTACTAACTGTAAATATGTAAATATACATGAATTATAGTGAATTATATAAGCCACGTGGAAAGACGGTTCCCAGGGTGCTGCGGATGAGATAGTGCAATTTCAGGTAGCTGAAGTAAACGAAAAGTGTAAAGTGAAGTGTTGCCANAGCGCTTGGTGTACGGCTGAGCTTGAGTGCAATTTCAGGTAGCTGAAGTAAACGAAAAGTGTAAAGTGAAGTGTTGCCAGGCCGAGAGTGGGTATCGAGTGTGAGTATGAGTTCAGATAGCCATGTGAAGGATGTGAAGTGTGTTGGAGACGAAGATACGGTAGCCGGGATAGACAGGAAAGTGTTTGAGTATGCAATCAAGTGTGAAGTGGGATGTTTTGACTGTGACTTGTGTCGCGAGGGGGTGTAAGGAGTGTGTACGAAGCTTAGCTCGCGAGTCAAGTCACAAGGGAGTTTGGTTTGAAGGTACCAGCTTCAGTTGGGGGCGGAAGAACTGTCCCCCGAGGCGAGTTTCGCTATGAGACGGTTACTTTCGGAGGTGTACTTGCAGCCGGTCGTGTTGCGGAAGGTAAGCAGCAGGTTAGCGGGGCGTAAGAGTGTGCGCGGAGGGTGTTCAAAGCGAAAACGCTTGGAAGACGGTCACCGGAAAGTCGCGAGCTGGTCGTTAATGCCAGACACGGTCGTCGCACGCTCGGTAGAGTAGCAGTAGAGTAACGGCGCGAGCTGAACTCCGCAAGCCAAGTAAGCCATTCGTTCTCAAGAGAGTGCCACACTACGTGCCTCATGTTCACTGCCCACCTGGTGTTACTCGTGCACACTTCAAAATATTCATACACCTACACCTTAGCATCACATAATTTTTGACCTCGTCAGTTCAATTTTTTACCGTTTCATTAGTCGGGTATTCCATTTTTAGTCAGACTTCTTTGTCGTTGGGTTCTACAGTTCCTGGCGATCCGGGCTCGCACTCTGATACCTCCCAAATATTCCCCCCTGTATCTGACGACTGCTACTGCATTCTCACCGCGTAGAATAGTTGCTCTTTACCCTCGTCATTCTATATGCCGGTCTGCATTGTCCCACCACTCTCCATGCACTTGGGTGTGTCTCATACCGATGTCATACCGCTTAAACCTCAGCCTTTTTATCTGTTTGTCTAGTGCCCATGATACAGATACACCAGAGTCCCTCTGACTTGCTCGTAGCACCGATCACCCCTCAGTGAACACGTGAAACGCCTCTGAGAAGTGTTCTACATAGCTCGACATTCTCATATCTCAAGTGCATGACTATTTCATATATTTAGGGCTTATCAGTGCTTTTCAATCCCCTGTGTAAGATGCCCTACTGCTTGACCACTGCAGGTTCACGACCGTTTGCTCCACACGCATGTCGCCGCGATGTCGAACATACCAGTCTGCGCACATTGTTCACAGCCACCGTGCCAATCGAGGCGGGAGTTGCGAAGAACATGTTCAATGTTCTTTGACAGGCTTGACTTCCTATTCCAACATCCGCGGGTTATTCCTCTGTCGATGCTGCAGAATATGGGCCAGAGGCCCTAGATTAGGTTACAGCTGTCTCGGGTGAGTTTGTCCAAACGACGCGCCGCGCCGAAAAATAATTCCAACGCGCGGAAAAGCCGCGACCGCTGGTCCCGGCCTCTACTCACTGAGACACCTTGCGAGTGGACGTAGAGTAGTGCGAAACTAGTTCAGATGCTCAAGCACGACTACTGAGAAGAAGAAACGACGATTTTGAGTCACGCACGCCGCCTGACCCATGGTTGACGTCGCGCCTCCTGACGAGCGCGTTCCTTGGCTTCCACCCACCACTGATACCTCTAACCGGCATAGCGGATACTCTCCCGAGGCGTACATAGCTATCTAAGAACACTCCCGGCTGAAAATGCACACCAGCTTCGGGGTTTCTGCGGGCAGCTTGCGGTCCCTTTCGCATGGCGGTCTGGAGGGGTCGTTGGGGAAGCTTGTCAGTCGACGCGGCGGGTGGTCTGAGGGAGGTGTATCGCGTAGGAATTGTGGGATGGTTGGACTAGAAAGTATGGGTACGTAGTCGCTGTGTACTCTGCGATCCCGGGCCGACCCCTCTCGACACCGACCAGTTGTCGTTTATACCTCATTCGTCATGCGAGTGCTGACCCGAAGCCCTCAGAATATCATATTGTCGACAGCTACGCGCTTAAATAAGCGTGTGCAGTGCGCTTTTCCTACCGGCTGCACGCGTAGTGGCTCGCCATTCTCCCCGACGATCTGCCCCAGCTCACGAGCGCCTTTCTCATCCATTCCCGCACCCTTCTTTCCCTCCCAATATCGCCAAAGCTATTTCCAGGCTTCTTTCCTACCGTTCTATCTATCTATCACGAAGTAGACCGCAGGATAGCGTCAATGCAATGGTCCACCTTAAGTTCAATGCTGGCAGCGACATCTCACGATAGACCCCGTATTTACTTCATGCATGGGCTCATACGAAATGAATAAAGTACTTGTATTGTTACGAGCATCTTTTGATGGTGCTGTACAATTAGAATGAGCTGCTACGAGGCTACGCCGCCCTAGGCCGTTTTTCGTGCATTGGAATTATTTTTCGGCGCGGCGCGTCGTTTGGACAAACTCACCCGAGACAGCTGTATCACTGGCAAACTTAGGAGTACGTCACGCGTCACGCATTTTTCACGCGAACTTACGATCGAAAAAGTACAGTATTCCCTCCAGACGTTCGCACCGCAACACCTTCAAGCTAACATTTTGAGCTCTCGCGCGGACAGTAGCTCGCGCCTCGCCGGTGAAGATGTTGCTAAAGTGAGTCATTAGCAGGTTGTCGAGACTGCCAAAAAGACAACATGGCTGCTGAAAAGGAGGTTTACGTCCTATTGACTGGAGCCGAGCAATGGCGAAATCCATCGATATCAATCTCTTGCACTGTATAAAACTTGTTACATGAACGTTTTGCGGGCATTGTGGACCGGGAGACCCAGGCAATCCTATTGTACACGGAGTAGGCTATGGGCGACGTGGCTTCTTCCTGATCAAAGGGCCTCGGACTGGAAAGCCAAAATAGAATGAACTGGACTGAGGGAATAGCTACGTTTGAGCCGACCTTTGCTAATGGTCATTCTTCGACGTCCAATAAGTGGTGCAACTTAACGAAGACCTCGTTGAGCTTTGGCGTCAGGTACTCTCCACATTGCCCATAAACGCCTAATGTGTACTGACTTTAAGTCAGAAAACGGAGGATGTTGCGGCGACCGTTCAGCTCAAACTCCAGCGACTTCAGGCGGGACTGCTTGACAAGAGGGCTCCGATGAGTTCTTGGGCTTGATACAAGGCTTCTCTCAGCGCATCCAAAGCAGTAAGTGGTGTTGGCGAGACAACAGCACATAATGAATGGGGTGAAATCTGAGTCTGTGGCCTTGCCGCTGATACGCCAGTAGAATGTTTGGCAGCAGCGCGAGGGTTGGGGTTGAGCCAGATCCTCCGTACAAGCCGATCGCCGCTTGCTCTGTTTCTTAGCCTCGATAAGGTACCCCTCACCGATATGTTTGGCACTGGAGGAGACAAGGCGCTTAAACTCCGCGCGACGGGCGCCCGCCGAAGTAGACAGGTTAGGGCAAGCGCGAACAGAGAATATGAAGGAGGTGGGAAGGCCTGTTGTAGTGTTGTGCGTTGAGATGTGGTAGAAGGAGTATGGGCGAGGGCTGCAGCAGCGGGAGTGCGCCTGCGCATGACTGTACATCGACACTTGTTGGCAGAGCGAGCTATGGTCGCGCAACGTCAGCGTCATATTTTGTCGAATATGACAAGTTAAGAGCGTATTTGACTACTACAAATTCCATGATTCCACTGTGACGGTCTGAGTTCTAACAGAGATTGGGTGTGAAGTATTGACACGCTGCCTTAGGGTTAGGGTTAGGGTTAGGTTAGGGTTAGGGTTAGGTTAGGTTAGGGTTAGGTTAGGGTTAGG